GGGGTGTTGTTTTATTGCCCGGGCTAGAATGCAGTCTTAAACTGGGTATGCCTGTAACTGTGTTTAATAATAGAGACATAAAAAAAAAAAAATGAGGGAAGAAAATAATTAACAAGCAGCCAACCAATATTTCATTTAAACCTGTAAATATGTGTGATGTAGTACTGATAAGAGTGTATATTTTGTGTATTTAAAGTGGAGAGTTCTATGAATGTTAATTAAGTCTACTTGTTCCGGATCTCAGTTCAAGTCCTGAATATCGATGTTAACTTTCTGTCTCATTGATCTGTCTAATATTGATGTTGAAGTCTCCCACTATTACTGTGTGGGAGTCCAAGTCTCTTTGTAAGTCTTATATATCTGGGTATTTCTGTATTGGGTGCATATATATTTAGGATCCTTAGCTCTTCTTGTTACATTGATCCTTTTATCTTTATGTAATATCCTTCTTTGCTTCTTTTGATCTTTGTTGCTTTGAAATCTATTTTATCAGCAAAAATTGCAACTCCTGCTTTCTATTTATTTATTTTAGCTCTCCATTTGGTTGGCAAATTTTTCTCCATCCCTTTGAGTCTTTGTGTATCCTTGCATGTGAGATGGATCTGGATGTAGCATACCAATGGGTCTTGGCTTTTTTTGCCTGTCTGTGTCTTTGGATTGGGGGATTTAGTCAATTTAAATTTAGAATTAATAACAATATATGTGTGTTTGATACTGTCATTTAATGTTAGCTGGCTGTTTTGCCCATTAGTTGATGCAATTTCTTAATTATGTTGATGTTCTTTATTTTTTGGTATTTTTTAGAAAGGCTGATACTGGTTGTTCCTTTCTATTTGTAGTGGTTCTTTCAGAAGCTCTTGTAAAGCAGGCCTGGTGGTGATGAAATCTCTGAGTGCTTGCTTGTTCACAAAAGATTTTATTTTTCCTTCGCTTATGAAGCTTAGTTTGGCTGGATGTAAAATTCTGGGTTGAAAGTTCTTTTCTTTAAGGATGTTGAATATTGGCCCCCACTCTCTTCTGTCTTGTAGGGTTTCTGTTGAGAGATCTGCTGTGAGTCTAATGGGCTTCCCTTTATGGGTAACCTGACCTTTCTCTCTGGCTGACCTCAGTATTTTCTCTTTCATTTCAACCCTGGTGAATCTGGCGATTATGTGCCTTGAGGTTGGTCTTCTTGAGGAATATTTTTGTGGTGTTCTCTGTATTTCCTGGACTTGAATATTGTCGTGCCTTGCTAGGTTGGGATCAAAGATCTTTTAAAAATCCTAGTCTTGGCCCCTGGATGTGGTGGCTCATGCCTGTAATCCCAGCACTTTGGGAGGCCAAGGCGGGGGTGAATCACAAGGTGAGGAGTTCAAGACCAACCTGGCCAACATAGTGAAACCCTGTCTCCACTAAAAATACAAAAAAAAAAAAAAATAGCTAGGTGTGGTGGCGGGTGCTTATAATCCCAGCTATTCATGAGGCTGAAGCACGAGAATCACTTGAACCTGGGAAGGAGAGGTTACAGTGAGCTGAGATCATGCCACTGCACTCCAGCCTGGGCAACAAAGTGAGACTCTGTCTCAAAAAAAAAAAAAGAAAGTGCTCATACCATGACTGCTTGTGTAAACAAGTATCTATCTTGTCAAAACAAAAGAAAGCAAAAACACACACACACACACAAACCCTAGCCTCTGAAAGGGAGGATTATTTGAGCAATAATAAAATTCTTGTCTTCCATGCAGCCATCTCTATGTGAATTAAACTCTTTCCCTGTTCCAATCCCCCATCTTGATCAATCAGTTCTGTCTAGACAGCAAGCAAAATGAACCCACTGGGCAGTTACCGTAATCTGGAACCTGGTATGAGGCGGGGAGGGGGGGGAACACTCCCAACTAACCAGTCAGTCATGGGGACATCAAATAGCAAAGCTCTCCAAGGAAAGAGAAACAGAAAATAAACCTCAGGAATCACCGACATCAATCAAAAAGTCACCCCCACACAGCAAGCCTAGCCTACTCACCTCATCCACAAACAGGAAGGGCTCAGCGGTTTCACGCATGGTGTCATCAATGAACTTTGTCATCCGCTCACGGACTTTGTTCAGATCCTGAGCCCAGTGCTCCTGAAAATGACAAAGAGAATGAGTGATCACCAAAACGAGAACTGACAAAATTCTTCATTTCCCAGGGTCCTTCCAGTCACGATAGAAGACTGAAACCTCAACCGATTCTGAATTCACTTGCCATTGAGCACCACATGTTGAGGCTCCATTCTGCTCATGGCCCTCTGCCAGGGGTCAGCAAATGTTCTCTGTAAAGAGCCAGAGAGTAAATATTTGGGGCTCTGTGAGCCACATGGTGTCTGTCGCAACCACTCAACTCTGGTGTTGTGGCGTAAAAGCAGCCACAGATAATCCGCAGGCAAATGGGCATGACTGTATTCCAACAAAATTTTGTTTATAAAACAAGTGGTTAGCTGTTTTTGGCCCGTAGGTCACGGTCTGCCAACTCCTGCCCTTTGCTAGCTCTTTACATTTGTTAGTATGAAGAGCCTGGGAGCATGGTGGTTATATCAGCCTTCCAGAATGCTTACCTGGGTTGGCCTCTCATTCCACCTAGGGGACCTTGGGCAAGTTACATGCTGTCTCTGTGCCTCCTCATCCATGAAATGGGAGTATCTGCACACAGTTTCTGTGAAGCACTGTATGAAATGTAGCGCTATATGAAATGCACACTGTACGAAGCACTGTATGAAACCTTATTAGGTTATGTGCCTAACACAGCACCTGGTACATAGAAAGTGCTCACACTCACTTTGGAAGGATGAGGCAGGTGGATTGCCTGAGCTCAGGAGTTCGAGACCAGCCTGGCCAACATAGTGAAACCCCATCCATACTAAAATATTAACAACAACAACCAAAAAAAGCCAGGTATGGTAGCAGGCACCTGTAATCCCAGCTACTCAGGAGGCTGAGGCATGAGAATTGCTTGAACCCAGGAGGTGGAGGTTGCAGTGAGCCAAGATCATGCCACTGCACTCCAGCCTGGGCCACAGAGCAAAACTCTGTCTCAAAAAAAAAAGAAAGTGCTCATAGCACGGCTGCTTGTGCAAATCAGCATCTGTCTTCTTCCTACAGTCACCTTAGTTCGCACAACTCAAAAGTCATATATTGTCACTGCCATCTTAGAGACAAGGAAACAGAGGGCCATGAACATCACCTAATATCCTAAGCTCATACAGCTTGTAAGTTGCAGAGTCTGGGTTCCAAATAACTAAACTGACATAGAGTCTAATCATATGCCCTCTTTTCAAGAGAATAGGCAAGCGGGGCTGCTGAAGCACTGATAATAGCAGAAATACCCACGACCGATTCCAAAGCAGCTGCGCACAGTCCTAGACATTTTAGAAATGTTTTAGAAAAAGAATGCATAAGCTGGGCTTGGTGGCTCACATCTGTAATCCCAGCATTTTAGGAGGCCGACTGGGTGTATCACCTGAGGTCAGGAGTTCGAGACCAGCCTGGTCAACATGGCAAAACCCCATCTCTAGAAAAATAGAAAATTAGCTGGGTGTGGTGGCACATGCCTCTAATCCCAGCTACTCAGCATGCTGAGGCAAGAGAATCACTTGAACACAGGTGGCAGAGATTGCAATGAGCCGAGATTGCGCCAAACTGAGATTGCGCCATTGCACTCCAGCCTGGGCAACAAAAGTGAATCTCCATCTCAAAAAAACCAACTCCAAATAAAAAAAAAAAAAAAAAAAAAAAAAAATAATGCATAATACTAAGTAACTATGGCTTTCCTCTCCATGCCCTGAAATCCCAAATGTTTATAGGAAAAGGGATGAAATATGACCATGTAAATTCAACTTTGACCAATACTTTCTTCATTTCAAATATTCTAAAACCTCTATCTTTATGACTAATGGGAGCAAATATGCTACCAGATGTGTGTGTGGTTGGATGGGAAGGGCTGGATGAGGATGTGCAAAAGAATGAAAAATGAAGAACAGACGCAAATGAGGTGGTGACCAGGAGGCTTGTGACATTCATGGGTGCACGACAACAAGAAACTGCTGTTGACTCTTGCAAATCTGCCTGGATCAGGAGCCCAAAACAGCCAGGACGCAGCTGGGAAACTGCAGGCTAATTTGAATACAGAGGTGTCCGAACCTTTGAATACAACATGAAACATGAAATTGTGGGATACTTGGTTAAAATACTTTCCTTGGCCAAGGTGTCCCAAAGAGACCAGAGGCTTCCTCCTTCCTTCTCCCTACAAAGTTTTTACAATTATCAAAAGGCATGGGTACTTAGCTAATATATCCTGACACTGGACTGGCTGTAAAGAAAAAAATCTTCTGCCTAAAGCAGACTGAAATGTCAATATTCTAGAGGTTATAAAATGCATCTACTTGCTGTTGGGTATTGTACTAGACAGCTGTAATGGTGACAATGGCAGAGAACAATGGTGAAAATACAAATAAGTGGTGATGGCAGTCAACACTGGGCACTGACTATGCCAGGCCCCACACACAGCGGCTCATCTTGAACTTACCACCCAGCCCAAGAGGTAAAGGTTATTCTCCATTTACACAAATGGGGAAACAGAGGAGAGACTTCTAGTCTCTCCATTTAAGTAAGTGGTCCCAGTCATGAGCCTCAGGCTAAACTCAGCAACAGTGGTTCTAGAAACATACCCGTTTCCCGTCGCCCATCCATCCCAGAGCTTTACTGTGGCATACTTAGCCAAATCCTCTAATGAAAATTTAGATGAGTTCCAAGTTCTCACTCCTATTAAAAATGCTGCATTATTTCCTTAGGATAAGTACCCAGAAGGGCAACTATTTAGTCAAGGTATATAATCTAGTTTTAAAGTTTTATTTTAATTGTATGCAGCCAAAGTGTCTTCTAGAAAAGTCATACTAATTTGCACACAGTGCTGCAGTGATTATTTCAAATGAGCATCTGTGTGACCAAACAACATTGCATGGATGCTCACTGCTGCTTGGGCCCTAACTCCCCAGATGCAGAGAGAGCTCCTGCACTTTCTCCTGGCCCCAGTCCCTGATCTCTAAGAGCCGCCCAGCAAATGGCTACATTTGGGGTATGTAATAAAGTAAACCACCACTAGGTGGAGCTAAATCCATACCCCCAAGTCTCCCTAACAGGTGGTGACTTCCAGGATGCAAGGCCACTTGTCCCCAAGAATTTAACCAATTTAATTTTAATTGTTCCCTACAAAACTGAATAATTTAGTGGAAGGAATATCATAACAGGAAAAAAGCAGATGGATTTCTCTCTACCTCACTCTACCACCAGCCCAGACCTCACATGTGATTCTGCCCAATAAAATTAACATATTATCTTCATTTTACCTCCTTCCTCAGACTTAATCTCAGGTTGGGCAAGTAAGCCTTCTTTTGGTCACTATCATTGTGTAGCTGCCACCCTTCCCTGAGCCCTCAGTGTGGCTGGCTTTGTGTAAAACATGTCTTCTGTGTTCACAAGTTTCTCTTCAATCAATGAAATCCAAACACAGGCTGGGTGTCAGGTGGCATTTAAAAATTACTGTTAATCACACAAGCTGTAATAGGAGGGTTATGACTACATTTTTTTAAAAACAAAAATGTTTTATCTGTGGGAGAAACATATGGAAGTATTTATAAACAAAGTATTTATAAGCAAAGTCTGGGGTTTGCTTTAGAATTCTTTCAGCAAAGAAATGAAGAAAGGGGAAGGGTAGGGAATGTGTGGAGTTAGAAGTGGATGTAATAAAACCGGCAAAGTGGGCCAGTCACAGCGGCTTACGTCTGTAATCCCAGCATTTTGGGGGGCTGAGGCAGGTGAATCACTTCAGTCCAGGAGTTGGAGATCAGCCTGACAATGTGGTGAAGCCCTGTTTCTACTAAATATACAAACATTAGTCTGGGCAGGGCGTGGTGGCTCACGTCGATAATCCCAGCACTTTGGGAGCCAAGGTGGGGGATCACTTGAGGTCAGGAGTTCGAGAACAGGCTGGCCAACATTGTGAAACCCCAACTCTAATAAAAATGCAAAAATTAGCCAAGCATTGTGGTGGACACCTATAGTCCCAGCTACACGGGAGGCTGAGACAGGAGAATCACTTGAACCCAGCAAGTGAAGGTTGCAGTGGGCCGAGATCGAGCCACTGCACTCCAGCCTGAGTGACAGAGCAAGATTCTGTCTCAAAAAAAAAAAAAGGGGGCCTGTAATCCCAGCACTCTGGGAGGCCAAGACAGGTGGATCATGAGGTCAGGAGATCAAGACCACCCTGGCTAATATGATGAAACTTCGTCCAGGTGTGCTGGTGGGGCATCTGTAGTCCCAGCTGCTTGGGAGGCTAAGGCAGGAGAATCGCTTGGACCCGGGAGGCGGGGGTTGCAGTGAGCTGAGATCACGCTACTGCACGCCAGCCTGGACAACAAATCAAGACTCGGTCTCCAAAAAAAAAAAAAAAAAAAAAATTGTCAGACATGGTGGCACACACCTGTAGTCCCACCTATTTGGGAGGCTGAAGGGGGAGAATGACTTGAGCCCAGGAGGTCAAGGCTGCAGTGAGCCATTACTGCGCCACTGCACTCCAGCCTGGGTGACAGGGTGAGTGAGACCTTGTCTCAAACAAGCAAACAAACAAATTGGGCAAAATGCTCGTAATTTTTAACCTGAGTGATAATACATGATGGTTCATTAAACCATCTGTCTGCTTCCATGTATGTCTGAAATGTTCTGCAAGACAAGAGAGTTCATTTTTCAAGTAAATGAACTTAATTTTGCTGCAACCCTAAAACTGCTCTAAAATATAAGGCCATTAAAAAAATAATAATAAATGAAAAAGAAAAGTAAATGGAACTCCAATGACATAAAAATTTTAGATTTAGATGTGAACAGGCATGTATACATATATTCATATTCACACACACACACACACACACACACACACACAAAGCCATACAGTCGTCTCTGATCCCCACAATTCGCAGAGGTAGATGCTCTCAGTCCCACTTAGAGAGGAGGAAACTGGGGCACAGAAAGGGTAAACCACCTGTCCAAAGCTGTGCAGCTGGTAAGAGGATTTCAAGTTGATCTCACTCTCACAGTTTCTCGTCCTCAACACTACAGGCACTTGGGGCTGAATACTTCTTTGTTTTTTTTTTTTTGGGGGGGTTGTTTTTTTGTTTGTTTGAGATGGTATCTTGCTCTGTTGCCTAGGGTAGAGCGCAGGGGCACAATCTCAGCTCACTGCAGCCTCTGCCTCCTGGGTTAAATCAATTCTGCCTCAACCTCCCAAGTAGCTGGGATTAGAGATGCCCACCACAATGCCCAGCTAATTTTTGTATTTTTAGTAGAGATGAGGTTTCACCACGTTGGCCAAGTTGGTCTCAAACTCCTGGCCTCCAGTGATCTACCCACCTCAGCCTCCCAAAGTGCTGGGATTATAGGTGTGAGCCACCCCACTTGGCCCTGAATACTTCTTTGTGGCAGGGGCTGCCCTGTGCAATGTAGGATATTTAGCAGCATCTGTGGCCTTGACCTACTAGATGCTGGCGGCAGCCTCCAGCTGTTACACCCACTCATGTCTCCAGACACCGTCCAGTGTCCTCTGGGGGCATCATCACAGCAGTGGAAAACTAATTCGTAACACAACACAAATCTCCCTTGAGTCTACAGCTGGGCTCAGGGCCCACAAGCAAACCCTGTCCATGGAGACTGTCCCATGCATCATGTGTTTAAAGATAGCTGCGCTATTTTATCTCCCAGGGGACCTGGCAGACTTGATCATTCTGGTCACATCCTCCCTTAAGTCAAGGAAGACTTCCCAGGCAGTGACCCCTGAGGTGATGCCAGAAAAGCTAAAGCCAGCCAGGTGACGGCAGCCCCATCCTCACGCCCTCATCCCTCCTTCCCTCCCCTAGAATTTTCTCATTCTTCCCATCCTCAATGTGTTCCTTAAAAAGAGGCCCAACATGAGGCTGTTCTGATCCAAGTTTCAGTGACATCTGACAACAAGCTGAAGTATCTGGCACCTGGGAGACTACAATCATTCCATGAAGACAGGTGACCAGGTGAGCACAGGTGGTCAGGTGAGCACAGGTGACCAAGTGAGCACAGGTGACCAGGTGAGCACAGGTGGTCAGGTGAACACAGGTGACCAGGTGAACACAGGTGGTCAGGTGAGCATAGGTGATGAGGTGAGCACAGACGGTCAGGTGAGCACAGGTGGCCAAGTGAGCACACGGGGTCAGGTGAACACAGCTGACTAGGTGAGCACAGATGACCAGGTGAGCACAGGTGACCAGGTAAGCACAGGTGACCAGGTGAGCACACAGGGTCAGGTGAACACAGGTGACTAGGTGAGCACAGGTGACCAGGTGAGTACAGGTGACCAGGTAAGCACAGGTGACCAGGTGAGCACACAGGGTCAGGTGAACACAGGTGACTAGGTGAGCACAGGTGACCAGGTAAGCACAGGTAGCCAGGTAAGCACAGGTGGCAGAAGGGTGAGACCAGTCCACAGCAGCAGCCCGCCAGCTCCCCCAGCCACCCACAAACCTTATGCTCTCTCACCTGCTGTTCATGTATGAGAAACCTCTGAAAGTCATGAAGGTAAACAGCAGAGGCATCCGGCCTGTCCGTGTTCCTGTCCTCGGGAAAAGCAGGGGTGGTCAGAGACAGGCACATTCAACAGAGGAGTTGAGAGGAGATGCCAGCCAACAGGGCAGCCTGCCACCCAGAGTATCCCATTGAGTCTGGTGCTGTGTTAGGTACCAGGTTGGAAGACACAGGCGAGTGATACAATGTCCCTCACCTACGAGGATTCAGAGGGGCCCTGGCATCAGAATCTCAAGGGGCAGGCTCTGGTATCTGCATTTAGCTGCCCCCAAATAGTTCTGGTGCACTCCCAGGTAGAGGAGCACCTCATGGAGTGTGGCCATGGGGAAGACAGGTAAACCAGGCATTTGGGGTACAGGGCAGCAAGAGACGAGGGTGGGAAGAGAAGGGCAGAGTGGGAACAGCAGAGGGGGTCCCAAACCCAAACCTGGAGGGCCAGAGGGTCTTTCCTGAGGAAAGAACACCTACTTGAGTTCCAGAGAATGAGGTGGGGTGAGCCAGAAAGAGATGCCGAGAGTGCCAGGCAAAGGAAACCGCAGACGCAAAGGTCTTGAGGAAAAGAGAGAAGGGCAGGGAGGAGAGAAAGAGAGGTAGGAAAGAGGGAGCGCAGGCCAGAGGGGGGCTGCAGAGTGAAATGTGGAGGAAACGCGGGCACATGAGCGCACCTACCCAATGCCCGGGCAGGGCTGGACATGCCACCCGCCTGCATAGGGGAGCTGGTGTTGAAGAAAGAAAAGGAGCCAGACCCAAGGGCCTCCTCAGAAGCCACGATCCAGAGTTCACTGGGTCATCGAGGCTCTGCAGTGGGGGACAGATGAGCCCCCCAGACTCTAGGCCATCAGGGAGAAATTAACTGGAGTGTGCAAGACACCACTGTGGACCGAGCAGAGGTCGGGTATCAGGGAGGGAACACCACTATGTGAATAATGGCAGGACTCCCGCCTTGGCCAGCAGGTCACTGGCATGTGGCTTCCTGGAGAGGCATTCACAGCCACCAGAAAACCTCATTGGGCCAGCACCAGCCACGCCTGGGTTGGATGGGGAGTACGTTCTGCTGCATGGAGCTTTCCAGGGAAATGGGTCGATTTCCCTGAGTACTTGCAGGAGCGTGGGGAAAAGAGGTCTATTTGAAATAGTAAGAGCAATGAAACATACCCTGAGCTTTCTCCCTTTACTCAACACTCAGGGTCCTGGAGTCTATTGTCTTATTACGAGTACATTTCTACCCTTTCCTCATCAGCCTCACGGTCTAACATTAAGCTTTTCATTAAAATACTACATAGAAATTATGGCTGGACACGGAGGTGCACGCCTGTAATCTAGGCACTTTGGGAGGCCGAGGCGGGTGGATCGCCCGAGGTCAAGAGTTCAAGACCAGCCTGGCCAACACGGTGAAACCCCGTCTCTACAGAAAATACACACACACAAAAAAAAGATAGCTGGGTATGGTGGCGTGTGCCTGTATTCCCAGCTACTCCAAGGCTAAGGCAGGAGAATCAAGTGGACCTGGGAAGTGAAGGTTGCAGTGAGTCAAGATTGTGCCACTGCACTCCAGCCTGGGCAACAGAGGGAGACTCCAACTCAAAAAATATAATAATAATATATATGTGTGTGCGTGTGTGTGTGTGTGCATGCTATATAAAAATTAGATTCATTTTATTTATACTGTGTAGTCTTGTTTCTGATTTGAAAAGTGACAGAGGGAAAAGCTGCTTACCAAAGAGGACTGGATCAATGTGCCCCAGCCCATTAACTCCAGGACCAACATGTCTCCCAGTCAGATAGGCTGGGAAACACACATCTCAGAAGTTCCCCACCTTGGGAATCATGGAGCACAGTAAATGTTCTGGTCAGTCCTGCAGCACTGACTTTTTCATAACAGTAGCACTACTTATGAGCCCTTCATGGGTGCCCAGCACCATGTGAAGCAGGTTATACACTTAAACTCATTTTAATTCAGTTAAACCTGTTTAACAAGGAAATTTTCACTTACTTGATCATGAACATTAGTTTTTGGAAAACAAAAACACACAAAAAAACTCTTAACCTGTCACATATCATGAGGCACGTTTGGGGAAAGGAGGCCCTGAGGCCACAGGCTTTTCTACAGAAACTTCTAAAACATCCTCCCAATGCTCCGTGCCCCACTGTTGCTACTGCTCATCTCTATCCACGCCACAGGTGTGGGATGGCCAATTCCCAGCAGGGGCGACCTGTCCCTGTGGAAGTTAGTGTCTGCACACACAGGCACCCCTCCCGGAGGCCGGCTGCGCACCAGGCACCGAACTGCGACACCGAACCGCCACCCCGAACAACATGCAAGAGCTGCCTCACCCCAGGATGAACACAGACGAATCCTTTTTGAATTCATCGAGAATCTGAAATGGAAAATACATACACAAGAAGAAACTTAGACAAGTCACTTAATGCAAAAGCAGAAAGATTTCTGTGGTTGTTAAAAAAAAGTATCATTTTGTTAGATGCAACAAGATCATTAAAAATATCATTTTAATGGGTGTCAGTTGTAAATATTCAAACATAGTAGAAACTTAAGAAGCAAAAGGTAGAAGCCCTCCTTGTTCCCTCCACAGTCTTATTCCCAAGAAGCAATCACCCTTCAGAATTTCATAAGTTTCCTTCTAGAATTTGTTTTAGGGATATTCACTTAACTGTATCATATCATGTCATTTAAGTACATTTCACAATTTTTTGCTGTGTTTCAAGCTTTACACATTAATCGCAACCTCAAATAACCCTGCTTTCCTCCTTCGAAAAATCACATTATATTCCACAATTTACACGTCACTTGACTTTCGTTACATCTGGTATTATTTTTTAAGTGTCCCTGTGTGTCTATTTCTGTATCTTTGCCCACTCGTGACAGTTTTTCTATAGAGCAGACTCCTAGAAGGAAAAGCACCTAGACACAGCGCACTGTAAGCACACTGGCTTTGATAAATTCTGCCAACTTGCTCTCAGAACAGTTGAGATGGGCACCTCCACTGGGGCACACATACCTTTTTCCACACCCTCAGTGACAGGTTTCTTTAGAGCTAGCAACTCACTGTTACCCAGACTGAGTGCAATGGCATGATCATAGTTCACTGCAACCTCACTCTCCTGGGCTCACGTGACATCAGCCTCCTCAGTAGCTAGCACTACACACATGTGCCACCATGCCCGGCTAATTTTTTTCATTGTGTAGAGATGGGGTATTACTATGTTGCCCAGGCTGGTCTTCAACTCTTGGACTCAAGAGATCCTCCCTTCTGAGCCCCCTGAGTAGCTGGGATTATAGGCAATATTTCGAACATTTAATATTTCAAAGATGCATTTCTAATCTTCGAAGGCAAGAGGATGGAAGAAATACTGGACTGCTTCAGCTCTTCACAGCCCACTGCAGCCCAACTGCTGTATGATGAAGGGTCTCCTCCCCTAAGAGGGGGGCGCCATGGAGCACACCTCCCTCCAGCTTCGACCTGCACCAGCTCATTTTCTGTGCATTGTACTCAGGAACCCTGCACACCCACATCTTGTCCGTTTCTGCCCAGGCGGCATTGCTTCAACAGTCTTCAATGACACTGCAACGGGATAAGCACTTGAATAATTCCCACAGAAACAGAAATGCATCCACTAGCTCATGATCAACGCTACTGACATAAAGCAGCTCCTGCACCGGCTGACCCAGGGTCCTCTTGCTGAACTCCTTGCAGCCCAGGATGTCATGGGAAGTATCAGTGTTCTACAAAAGGAATCGCAGGCCTCTGGGAAACATCAGAGAGCCCTCAACAGTTTGTGCAGGTGTGTGTTTCTTTTGGAGACATGATCAGCATCTCAAAGGAGTACGTCCCACCTGCTCTTGGAGTAGGTCACTTTAAAGGGGGCAGAGAAATGGGGCTGTCGCTGGGGCTTTGGGGCAGAGGTGGTCAAGGAAGACGTTCTAAAGACAGAAGTTATAGCTAGTGTTATGGATAGGACTGTGTCCCAGGAATACATGTCCAAGTCCTAACACAGTACTCGAGAGCATGACCTTCTTGGGAACTAGGGTCTTTGCAAGATGCAATTAAGTTAAGATGAGGCCATGCTGGGTTAGGGTGGGCCGGAATCCAGTGACTGGCTTCTTAAAAGAGGGAGATTTGGAGACAGAGAACCACACAGAGAAAAAGACACCAGGAGGTGATGGAGGCAGAGACTGGAACAATGACATCTACAAGCCGTGGAGTGGCAGCGTCTACGCACCAAGGAATGCTTGTAGGATTGCTGGCAGCCAGCAGCACCAGGAGGCGTCCACGCACGGAGGAATGCTTGAAGGCCTGCTGGCAGCCACCAGAAGCCACAAGAGAGGCCTGGAACACAGCCTTCCCTGGAGCCTCCCGAGGTGGTGCGGCCCTGCCAACACCTTGACTTTGGACTCTGAACCTCCAGGATGGGGAGGGAATAAATTTCTGTTGTTTTAAGCCACCACTTGCAGTACTTGCTGCGGCGGCCCAAGGAGACTCTGTCTTGGAACGCGGATTGCATGAGCTGGGGCAAGATGGTCACAGTCTCAGTCTCTCCTCCCACCAGTCCCATCGGGTAGTAAAATAAGCCCCATTTCAGAAACAAGCAACAGGCCCAGGGAGGCAAGGATTTTTCTCCCAACAAGTCCAGGGGCCAGAACTTCAACCCTGGCCCGCCTTGGTATATCTCCAGCATCCCACACTATACGTACAAATGTATATACAATAAATGAGATCCCAGCAATCAGAGAATATTCTAGATGCTATGGGTGCACAGTGGAGGCAGCCGTTAATTTATATTTAGCATCACCATGATGGGTTATGTGGTCAGATTCTACCTAACCAAGGCACAGGGGTTGCACTGGGCCTGTGTCACTCTGGGCAACATCCCGGAACCTTCCCACCTCAGCAAAGGGCCAGTGAGGTCAGGATAAACATCTGTATTGTTAACCACTGTGCCCTCTTGGGTCACGCACACATTTACTGGATCAGTGACTAAAGTAATGGATAAACTAATTTCCTCTGGTAGCTAAAAGGCTACAGGGAAATGTCATCTTTGAGTTGGGCCCCAGGAGAAGAAGTTACCAGCTGGACAAGAGAAGGGGCCCTGCCAGAGGGAGGGGTCATGGAAGCAGGGGTCCAGGGTACTAAGGGAGGGAGGGAGAGGAATGGTGTTTTTCCCACGTGGCTGGAGGCACACGCCCTTTCAGAACTGAAGTTGGTCTAACACACTCAGTGGTGTCAGGATGTAGGAACCATTTGGTTCTGGAAGGCCAAGAATAAAGTCTCATTCATAGAAAAGCTAGCCCAGGCACGGTGACTCAAGTCCATAATCCCGGCACTTTGGCAGGCCAAGGTGGGCAGATCACTTGAGCCCAGGAGTTCAAAATCAGCCCAGGAAACATGGCGAAATGATCTCTACAAAAAGTACCAAAATTAGTCTGTATGGTGGCGCACACCTGTGGTCCCAGGTACTCGGGGGGCTGAGGTGGGAGGATCATTTGAGCCAGGGAGTCTGAGGCTCCAGAGAGCCATGATTGTGCCACCGCACTCCAGCCTAGGTGACAAAGTGAGACCCTGTCTCAAAAAAAAAAAAGAAAAAAGAAAAAAGAAAGAAAGCAAAGCTGATGAGAGATTTTATGTGCTAACTTCTACACTGCACTCTTCTCTCACCAGCCGCCGACAATGAGAAGAATCTGCACCGGCCCTGAGCTTCTCCACGAACATCATCACAGAATGCTCATCACTCACTTCCCCGACGCCCACACCCATGTACAGCCCGGCAGCATAGCCCTCCAATGTGCTACTGAATGTAGGATCATAGGGACAGCCACAGGTAGGCCGGCAGGCTTCCCAATTTTCTTTCTATTATTTGCAAGTGCTTCCTATTTTTACGTAAGAAATGCTGTAACCACGGGGGACTGCACGGGTTTGATCAGGAGGTAGCAGGGTAGCAGTCACGAAGCTGGGTATTAAATTACAATATTGGCAGATGACACGCTTTGCTGTGTGAGATCTGCTGGGAAACGTGAGAAAAAAGACTTGGGTGAGGGCGTCAACAAAGTAGTAATGGCAGAAGTCGGCTGATGATACATGGGGGTCTGGTATGCTGTTATCTCTATCTGTATATGCTTTAAATTTCTTTAATAAAAGGTTTCAAAAATTAAGAAGTATTCCATGGCTGTGCATCAAATTTGGGCAGAAAATCAAATCCTAGCTCTGCAGCTTACTAGTTAGTGGCCTGACCTCCAGCAAGTAACCTCTCTGGACCCCAGTTTCTTTTTCTTTTTTTTTTTGGACCTCAGTTTTTTAATCTCTAAAATGGCAATAGCAACAGTAGCTCTTCCACAGGGCTCTGGGTGAGAATTAAATGTATACAAAACACACAGGACAATAGGTCGGGCATGGTGGCTCACACCTGAAATCCCAGCTCTTTGACAGGCCGAGGTGGGTGGATTACCTGAGGTCAGGAGTTCAAGACCAGCCTGGCCAACATGGTGAAACCCCGTCTCTACTACAAATACAAAAATTAGCTGGGTGTGGTGGGGCATGACTGCAGTCCCAGCCACTCGGGAGGCTGAGGCAGGAAAATTGTTTGAACCCGGGAGGTGAAGATTGCAGCGAGCTGAGATTGTACCACTGTAGTCCAGCCTGGGAAACAGAGGGAGACTTTGTCTTAAAATAAAATAAAAATACAAAAATTAGTGAGGTGTGGTGGCAGATGCCTGTAATCCCAGATAGTCAGGAGGGTGACTCAAGAGAACTGCTTGAACCCAGGAGGCAGAGGTTCCAGTGAATCAACATCGTGCCATTGCACTCCAGCCTGGGTGACAGAGCAAGAGTCTGTCTTGGAAACACACATACACACAAACACACACACACACACACACACACACACACAGGACCGTGCCTAGCATACAGTCCACCTGAAAAAAGTTAGCTATTATCTTCGTTAATAATATTGTTATTACAGCCTAGTTGGAGGCATCTCCCCTCACCAGAGGGACACAAACATGAGATTACATTTCGTATCCCCCTCCTGCTGCTAAGCTTTTGGATACTTTGAGGCTTGAGAGCTGCAACAAAGGCAGGTGGTTAGACACAAAGAGGAACTGGCAAGCCCAAGTTGGAAACCATTTGGCTATTGATAAGCAAAAACCCACTCCCTGGATTTAGGTCTGGGGATTCTGAGTCACCATAAATAGCTCTGTCTTCTGCAGGAGCCTGAGAAATCAGCTAGGCCCTCTGTCCTCCCAAAGCACAATACTTTTCTCTGCCGTGTGCTTCCAGCCAGGATCTCAGGAAGTAAACAATCTCCTGACAGGTTTGGGGTAGACATTTACCTACACAACAGCAGTGAAGTTCTTCAAGCTGGCCAGAAACTGTCTAAATCGCTAGGGACATTGCTATTCAAATCTAAGTCATTAAATTTAAAAAATGCAGTGACCAAAGTGGAGAGTTATACCCTCAAACAGTGGAGATGAGGGTGGGCAACGCAAAATATCTTTGGGGTCAGGTATGCAACATAGATAAGTAGATGGAGCTGCACAGGGCTGGGTCATTACAGAGAACGTGGACTGTCCCATGGGGAGATGTCACCCTATTTATACCAAGATCTCGATTTTTTTCCCAAGGGAAGCAAAAAAAAAATCTAGATTTTAATATGTAATATAATCTCCCAAATTTTAATTGTAGGCAATTAATTTTAAAAATATTTAAACGTTAGGTCAAGTACAACCAGCTGCAGGGTCAATGTGGCATTCTGGCCACCAGGGGTCAACCTTTGGTATCGGCAGAACCCTTCCCGTACAAAGTTCCACATGGGGCAAACCAGGGTACCCCAGAGGATTCCAAGATTCTGTAAAACTCTGACCCAAATCTCTTTTTGTCCCTCATAAACACAAACACACAGACTAGCCTTAATAAGACCCATCATTAAAAGTATAGATTGAAATACATCTTATGTAGAATTTTATCACAGTAGAAACCAACCATGAATGGGTTCCTCTGCTGGCAGGTGAAATAGCTTTTGTATAAATCTTTTTTTAAATTTTAATATTACTTAATAATACAGACAGGGTCTCACTATGTTGCCCAGGCTGGTCTCAAACTCCTGAGCTCAAACTCCTGCCTTGGCCTCCCAAAGTGGTGGGATCAGCGTGAGTTACTGCTTTCAGCCATATGCAATCTGATTCTCAAACTTTGCCTGGCATCTGTGTGATAACACAGCATCTTGAAATTTCAACGTAAGCTATTATTTTTTTAAAATGTTATTTGCAACTTCCTATCTTGAGTAAATCAAGTTTTTCTCAATCCTGGTCATCTGCATAAGATGACAACCATCATCATTCCAAATTTCAAACACACGCTGTCATCAAACGTTCTCATTATTATCAAGGACTATTTTTAAAGTTAAAGTATGCTAGTAAGCTTTTATGAAGCATGATTTTTGTTGTTGTTGTTGTGACAGTTTCACGTTTAAAGGAGATGGGATTGGCTGGGTGCAGTGGCTCACGCCTGTAATCCCAGCACTTTGGGAGGCCGAGGCAGGCTGATCACCTGAGGTCGGGAGTTCGAGACCAGCCTGACCAACATGGAGAAACCCTGTCTCTACTAAAAGTACAAAATTAGCCTGGCATAGTGGCACATGCCTGTAATCTCAGTTACTGGGGAGGCTGAGGAAGGAGAAATGCTTGAACCCGGGAGGTGGAGGTTGCAGTGTGAGCCGAGATTGTGCCATCGCACTCCAGCCTGGGTAACAAGAGCAAAACTCCACCTCAAAACATAAGTAAATAAAAAACAGCAGATTATACAGTTTTAGAAGTTTTATAACCGTTGATGTACTTAAATGCCTTCATTTTATAGAAAAGGCTAAGTGGGAGGGCAGAGATGGCTTCCCCCAACATCACTTGGTCAATTAGAGGTCAAGTGGGGTCTAGATTCCAGATCTCCCAACTCCCAAGCCTACAATCTTTCTATTTCATTTGGCAAACTAAGAACTAATTATTAGATATGTGAAATCAATGTTCCACTCTATGAAATCTGTTTTTCCCCAATCTAGGCAGATAGGAAATGGCCCTCCCATTTCTCTACCTCTGATACATCCGAAGTCCCCCGGCCAGTGGTCACCCAGCAAGTGGCCTCACTATGTAGCCAGCCCCAAGCCCTGCATACAGAAAGCAATTAATGACTGTCTTCTAGAAACACTCATATTCATCACTCAAAAATGCCCGTATTCCCAACTCCCAGCCTCTCACTGCACAGAGGAGAACACTGAAGCTAGGAGCACTCAGTGGTTGTCCAAGATCATGCAGCTAAGTGGAGGCACCACAACTACCTGGCTCCTAGTCCCACTACTCCCTGTGCCCTCACGGCTTTCCCTGGGAACTCTTTTGCAGCCTGCAAATGCCTCCCCTCACAGTAACAGCAGCAGCCCCTGTTTGCTGAGTGTGTACCCCTACCACGTACTGGACTTGATGCATTGCACAGAATGGCCTCAATGTTAAACCTTTATGCTCTATGGAACTTTTTTATTACAAAAGTAACATGTTACTTGGAACATATTAGAGAAAATGCGCGGTGTAAAGAAAAGGTAATTATCCTTTCTGCCCATCTTCCCAACCCCTTCAGCACATACACAAAATCAACATTAAATGTGAGACGTGTTTTCTTCCATACCTTCCTCCCTGCTCATAAACACATGTGCAAAAGGAGGGTTATTCATTCCAACTTTCTGTTTTAGGTTTGAGACAGAGTCTCACTTTGTTGCCCAGGCTGGAGTGCAATGGCACGATCTCAGCTCACTGCAACTTCAGCCTCCCAGGTTCAAATGATTCTCCTGCCTTAGCCTCTAAATTGCTGGGATTACAGGTGCACACCACTATGCCTGGCTAATTTTTGTATTTTCAGTAGAGACTGGGTTTTGCCATGTTGGCCAGGCTGGTCTCAAACTCCTGACCTCAAATGATCCACCCGCCTCAGCCTCCCCAAGTGCTGGGATTACAGGCGTGAGCCACCGTGCCTGGCCTGTATTCTACGTTTTTTAACAAAATAGCAGACCTAACTCCTCAGGTAAATCTGCTCCTGGCTTTCCTCACAAAATGTCACAAATATCGTCTCAGATTCAGAGAAAGAGAACTGACGCATGCTTCTTAATCTGCTGCATAAGGTCACATAGTATGGACAGACCATAATTTACCCAGCACTTCTTCCATTAGAGACATTCAGATGATGCCCAGGTATTTTGCCAGCCTAAATAATGCTGCAATTAATAATCCAATAATATATTCTAAGGCCCCAATGTTTTCCTTTTCATAAAACAGAGTCCCCAAGATGCCACTATCAGGTCAAAGTGAACACACATCTTATTTTTTAAATAGTCTATTACTTTAACCAAAAAATATGTCCTCATAAAAAATACAAATAAAAATATGAAAGGAATGGGCACAGTTGCTCATGCCTGTAATCCCAGCACTTTGGGAGACAGGGGTGGGCAGATCGCTTGAGGTTAGAAGCTCAAGACCAGTCTGGCCAACGTGGCAAAACCCTGTCTCTACTAAAACTACAAAAGTAGCCGGGCTTGGTGGTGTACATCTGTAATCCCAGCTACTTGGGAGGTTAAGGCATGAGAATCGCTTGAACCTGGGAGGCAAAGGCTGCAGTGAACCGAGATCATGCCACTGCACTCCAGCCTGCGCCATAGAGTGAGACTCTGTCTCAAAAAAAAAAAAAAAAAAAGTGTAAAAAGAAGAAACATATACATAACTCCTCAATGTGGAGGTGGATATTAATAACAATGGCCATTTGCTAAATTTCCTTTCAGAATAAAATAATGCAGTAGAGTGAGTTGCACTTTTTTAACAGATTCAGAACAAATTCCAGTCAAACCTAGAGCCATTCATATTTCCACCAGGAAGGTATAGAAACACCATTTATCCACATTTTCCCCAAAGCTCTGTCATGGTTGAAGATTTCTGCCAATCTAATAGATGAAAATGGTATGCTTTTATCGCTCTCCTTTACATTTCCTTGACTAAAAGGGAGATTAAACACTTCTTGTGGGTTTCTTAGGAACATGCCAGACTTGGAAATACGTGGAAAACAGAAACATCATTTGATCACTTGTTCAAGAATCATCTTACCGATTTTTGCTGTTCAAACATAAGTTTTTTATAGAAGAGATGGAACTGTTCAAAGCTCAGCTCATCTTTGTGTGCTCCTACTTCCTGTAAATATGAAAAAAGTGATCACATGATTTTTGATGTCCACCATAAGAATGGCTCCATGTTATTTACAGAATAATGGTTTCTCACAAATTGCATGTTATTTTATGGGTATGCTGAAGAGAGAGTTATGACCACACTGCTTCAGGGTCACCACTTTTGGAAGGAAAAAGCCATACTATTCACCACGGCTTTCCTAGAACATTGGCAAAACTCAAACTCGCATTCCTCTAAATCAAAACCCTCCACATGTTTCCTAATTCCCCTGCCTATGAAAACATACTCACAGGGGCCCCTACCAAGTAAGACCCTCCTTTGAGCCCCAAAAGGGAAGAGTCTCAGTTAGGTTTGCAAGAGACATAATATGTAACTCATCCTTTTTTGGGCAGAAAACACTCTCTTTGGACTTCCAACTTCAGACATATTTGTAGAGTATGTACGTATAGGTCATTTTGTAAAGCATTTGGAGTCAGACAGATCTCAGCTCCAATCAGCTGCTTCATGGCTTTGGGCAATTTCCTTGACCCTTTTAGACCCTCAGTTTTCTTTGCCTGTAAAATAGGAGAACCACCACTATGCTCTTAGAGCTTCCCTGAAAGTGAAAAAGATATCTCTGCAAAATACCTGGTTCAGTAAATACTTGATAAAGTATTAAACACCGACTGCGTAGCTATCAATGGTAAATGTTTCTCCCATCTCTCTCCTCTTCTGACCTACTCTTCTCTTTCTGTTCTTGGATTAATCTGGAATTCCCAGGGCAGGTCAAAGGATGCTTGATAAGCAACAAAATGGGACAATTCTTCCAGGAGCTCATTAGTACAGAAATGAAATGAACTTTTTCAGCTGAGGAACCTTGTGATGGAGCTGATATTGACAGTGGGCACTGGAGTCCTCCACCTGGGGCTACTGGGATGGAGGTTGCTCATTTCCTAAGTAGAATCAGTATCTCCCTGTAGGCAAAAGATGGTACCCATTGTCTCCATCCCTGCTTCACCTGCTCTACCATAGCCCTTCACTCACGGAGTGGCTTTATTCCCCAGCCCCACCCACAACTTGATTACACAATATAAATTAAATGATGTAGAGAAGGATGGATGGTTGGAGAAACAGAAGGGGGAAAAAAAAGGTACACTACCAAGACTTCCATACAAAATGCCATGGTCCTGGTACCCTACATAAGGAATGTTTCATAGTATTTTCCAAAAGACATACATGCATTCATTTCAGTAGGGAAAAAAAAGGGCTGCAGTATGGTCAGGGAAATAGGGAAGGCTAGACTAGTGGAAAACAGGTCTGGGGGTAATGTTGCAAGTCCAGCAGCTCAGGAAACATGGTCTTTATTGATTACACCCTCTGCTAGGATCAAGAACATGGTCCTACGATATGTCTGTGATCCCTCTGTCTGGACTAAGGTGTACTCTGGAGACAAAGGACTTTCTTGGGCAGTATTTCAAGGAACTCAAAAGCAACTCACAGCTTCATGAAAGAGGCTAAGTCACTCTGCATTCATAAAATTCCCAGGCTGAGCCATGAAACTTACCACAAACTTATCTTTAAGGAACTTGGCACCGCTCACTTTGAAGTTGACCAACGGCAAGATGGTCTTCAACTCTCGGAGGCTGATGCTGCAAAAGAGGGAGACCCAGCTCCATCACCTTGAGGGTTTTCAACAGCACAGGATTTAGCTGCTCCCATCAGCTCCCACCTCAGGCAGCCCTCTATGAGAGAGCCTGGTCAACAGTTGTTTATGGAGCACTAACTAGGAAAAGACTCTGGGTCAAGGTGAGGGAGACACTCCAATGAGCAAGGCTGGTCTCAAACCTTCAGGGATGTCCATGGACAAGGGTCACATAGAAATTTACAGTGTAGAGTGATGCCCCAATGAGGAGGGCTGTTCTCTACCCTTCGGGAAAGGCCATGGAGGAAGGTTCTGCAGGAGATTAAGTGTGGGCAGAAAATGGCGTCAGATGACCAGATAATCTCAACACAAAATGCCATAGAAATCCCAAAGGCCCAATGTAAGTGTTGACATGATATGATTTCTGCCCAGGGCTCTGAATGTCAAAGTGAAGAAATCCAATGAAGCTTGGGTAAACAGCAGGAATAACTATGACACTCTTCAGGGAGCCAAACACTTTGTCACCTAATTAGTGACATGAATGGATGAACAAGACTCCTACTGACTCTACCTGCCACTCAGAGAAACCACAGCCACAGAATAGGCTTAGCAGAATCCGCTGGGAAAGACCCAGCTAAGCTTGATTCTAGTCTGGCACTGTGAAGAGACAGAGAGATATAGAGTAAGTAGGGACCCCCAGCAACCCCCAAAATAAGTGAAAAATAAAGCTTTCTCTTAATGCCACTGGGGTTCAGAGCAATGCAAGGTCACTAAGGGCTAGAGAGGGAAAGTGGGAAGGAACAAGCCCTACATGGACACCTACTGTGTGCCATGCTGCCCTGAGGTCATCCAGTTGTTAAGGTGGCCTAATTGCTCACCACATCTACCTTTTGCAAAGTAAACGATTGACCCCCCCCCCCACCACCCATTGAGGCTCAGAACAGGCAAGGGCAGGGTGTCAAGGGGGTGGGGGGTACACAACACAGGGCTTGGAACTGGACGGCAGGCAGCAGAGCCTGGATCTGAATCAAATTCCAGGGCTCGGCCACAGCAATCTGCTTGAGTGTTTCTCTGAAGCCACATGGTGAAGTTCAGCTTAAGAGGAAAGCAAGGTGGACGCATCCCAGGTAAAAGCAGTAGCAGCAGTGGTAACAATGGTAGCAAAAGCTGAAACTTCAGCAGTGCGTATCACTTGACAGGTGTTCTAGGTGGTGCCTTATATGCACATTCACCTGTTTGATGCTTGAACAATTTTACGGGGCAGGTACCATGATCATCTCTATCTTCCAAGTGAGGAAACTGAGGCTCCTATCACTTTGGTGCCTTATCTGGGCTGGTCTCCAACTCCAACCCAGTCTTCCCACAACAATCACACCTGACTACCTCTCAGCCAGTGGCTCACACAAGGAGAGGTGAAGTTAGTGGGGTGAGTGAGTCAAGAACATAAGCTCCACACCCTTCTGGCTGAGCCAAGTGTTCAGCAGTGCTAAGACAGGGTGGTCAAGAACGGAAGCTTGCCCCAGGTCATGGCAGAAAACAGCCCAGTCTCCTTGCACCATCCTCCCAGGCTCTGCTGTGGCATTCAGAAGGAAAGAGCACGTCACTGCCCAGCCGCTGCCCTGGAGAAGGTCCAGTGTGACTCTGGCCATCCTGTGTCCCCACCTCCAGCCTTCTTCCTCTGGTTCTAATGGCCTCTCTAACAGCAGAGACTTCAACTAACAAGATACTCCCCACCCACGTACCCCTACTGCAGGGCCAGCACCCATGGCTTTCACAGACAGACCTTAAGGGCAGGAAAAAGCCACTGCTAGGCCAGCAGGGGCTGGCTGGGCAGAGTAGCCAGCAAGCTAGGGAAGTTGCCCCAGGGGTTTGCAAGAGCCCTTCTGCCTCAGCCCTGGGGATGGCCCAAGGAAGAGCTTGGCCACGGCAGGATGAAGGTGGAGGAGCAGCAGTGAGAGGGGTGGTGGAGAGAGGAGCCAGGCCACCCTGGTGGCCCAGTGGAGCTCATCCTGGGAGCAAGGGACAGGTCAGAGTCCCCCAGGAGCCCAGGCAGCAGCAGGTCAAAGAAGCCATCCCATGTCCAGGAACAGAGAGGCTGAGGGGTCTGGGGAGCCAGAGCACCAAACCCAGGAACCAGGGGCATGAGCTCAGGAACCAGTGGACCAAACCCAGGAACCAGGGGCACGAGCATCCAAGCACCTGAGACATGGGAACCCACCTGGTCCAAAGGCCTCCCCTTACAGTGCGAGCACCGTAAACAGCAGCCTCCACTTTCACACGTCCTCCAGGGGATTTCCATGCACGCTCAGGTTTGAAGCCTGAGAGCTTCTTTGGGCTCTTACTGCCAGGACTGCCTCACCCAATTCCCCGCTAAGCGAGCCCTTCCCTCACTCCCACCTGTGGGTGTGCGGGTGTCGTGCTACAGGGCCCCACTCAAACCAGCACCAGGAGGCTGAGCCCCCAGTGCTGCAGCGGAGGAAGCCAACAGCTCAGCTTCACCCCTTTCTGCGACCTGCCATCCCCTAGAGTGCCTTACCCAGGTCAAAGCCTCTTCCAAGGCAGCCGGCGCTGACACCTGGTCCACACATGGGAAGGAAGGCCTGACCCTCTGGCCTCAATTTAGGACAGCCGTGACTCTCCCACTGCCTGTTCCAGCTGCCCTCCCTCCCCCTGGGTGATGACCCCCCATGTGCTCCCCAGTAAACCTCCTGCACACAAATATACATCTCAGATCCTATTTCCTGGGGGCTCAACCTACGGCTGCAGGTCAGGAACCAAGGCAATCCCTTTGGGGAAGGAAGGCACTATTCCCGGAATGGGTCACCAACAGCCCCTCCCTCTTCCATGGCCGACAGCACTGAACAATCACAGCATCCTCCCTGCTCAGCCGGAGAAGTTCCCAGGGTCCTTCAACTCTGCACCCAGGCAGCCATCACCAAACAATTAACGACAGCAGCCCCATGACACTTACCGGCACCTCCACTGCCCCCAGCTCTTTTGCAGGAACAATGGCAGTAAGAAACGTTTGTCGAGGGCTTGCCGTGAGCCAGGCACAGTCCACACGCACTTCACATATTAACTCCTGAGCCCTAACATCTGCCCTGGGAGGTGGGGACTATTAATTTATCTTTTACACATGAGGAAACTGAGGCCCAGAGAAATTAAATCATTTGCCCCAATTCACACAACCAGTCAGTGTGAGGGATGAGATTCAAGCCTCGGCACGGTCCGACACAACTTTCGACAATGGTGGACACGTCTGTGCTGTCCGAGGCTCTAGCCACTAGCCACACGGCGATGCTGAGCTTCTCAGATGCAGCTAGTTCCACTGAGGAGCTAAGTTTTTTATTGTATTTTATTTCGTTGAAATGGCCATCTGTGGTGCAGGGTACCCCGCCGGCCAGCGCAGCCCCAGAGGTCTCCCAGAACAGCTGCATCTATATCACCTGGGATTTGTTGAAATGCAAATTCTTGAGCCCTACCCACCACCAACAATCAGCAGCCGACGTGGAGCCCAGCAGCCTCCACTTTCACACATCCTCCAGGCGATTCCCATGCATGCTGAAGTTTGAAAATTGCTCTCTAGATGGCCCTAACCTTCAACCCCAGCTTTGTAGTAGAATCTTATTTAAAAATTTCCAATGCCAGAGGCCAGGCCCAGGACAGCAAAATTGGAATCCCTACTGCTGTGGCTCTGCTAAAGCTCCCCGGGTGACTCTAATATTCTGGATCCTCAAATCAGAAGCCTAGTTGCGTTCATGTTGAAGGAGATAAACAGACCCACCCACCTGCCTTCCACCTGCAACCCCCTCACCCTTTGCCACCTCCCTGTAGAGTATTTCCTCCATCCCTGCCTCAGAGAAGGGGAAGTGCACCTTCTGCTTATCCAAATTGAATGTTATATACCAAGAGGGCAAGGGCAGAGGAGGGAAAGGAAGTAAGTGTTGCTGAGGAGATGAAGAAAACAGAAATCCGTGCATCGCTGTGAGAAGGTGTAACCGCTGGAGCAAACAGCACGGCAGTTCCGCAGAATAAAGAGAATTACCATTTGATCCAGCAGTTCAGCTTCTGGATATATACACAAAGGAAGGTAAAGCAGAGGCTCAAACAGATCTGTATACCCATGTTCACAGCAGCGCTATTGACAACTGCCAAAAGGTGGAAGCAACTCAAGGGTCCATCAATGGACCAATGGACAACGTGCAGTCTAGCTGTACAATGGACTATTATTGAGTCTTAAAAAGGAAGAAGACGCTAACACAAGCTACAACACAGATGAGCCTTAGAGACGTTACACTGAGTGAAATAAGCCAGACACAAAAGGATGAATATTGTATTATTCTGCTTAGATGAAGTACCTGGAGCAATAAAATCCAGGGACACAGAGAGTAGAATGGTGGTTCCAGAGGCTGAAGGGAGAAGCAATGAGGAGTTCCTGCTTAATGGCTACAGAGTCTCAGTTTGGGATGATGAAAATATTCTAGAGATGGATGGTGGTGACGGTGGCAGGCCCGTGTGATATACTTCATTCCACAGAACTACGTATCTAAGAATGGCTAAAATGACCAATGCTGTGACCAGGCGCAATGGCTCACGCCTGTAATCCCAGTACTTTGGGAGGCTCAAACAGGCAGATCACCTGAGACCAGGAGTTCAAGACCAGCCTGACCAACATGGTGAAGCCCCATTTCTACTAAAAATATTTTAAAAATTAGCCGGGCATGCGGGCTCATGCCTGTAATCCCAACTACTTGGGAGGCTGAGGCAGGAGAATCACTTGAACCCGGGAGGTGGAGGTTGCAGGGAGTCAAGATCGCTCCACTGTATTTCAGCCTGGGCAACAAGAGCAAAACTCAGCCTTAAAAAAAAAAAAATTCAGTGTTGTTCTATGTTTTAGTGTTGTTATCACAAAACAAATTTTAACATTTGTTTTTAATTTTTTTTCATCATAAGGTGATTTGTCAGAGTGAGGGAGGGAAGTTTTCTACGTCTTCCTCAGCTCTCAACAGCACAATTTTTTTTTAATTTTGTTGGTTTTGTTTTTTTGAGATGGGGTCTCACTCTGTTGCCCAATCTGGAGCTCAGGTGCATAATCATGGCTCACTGCAGCCTCAACCTCCCTGGGTTCAGATGATCCTCCCACCTCAGCCTTTCAAGTAGCAGGACTACAAATGTGCACCACTACACCCAGCTAACTTTTCGGTACTTTTTGTACAGATGGGTTTCGCCATGTCACCCAGGCTGGTCTCCAACTCCTAAGCCCAAGCGATCCACCTGCCTTGGCCTCCCAAAGTGCTGGGATTACAGGTGTCAGCCACCATGCTCAGCCAATAGCACATTTTTTTTAAAAAAAAGGAAAAGCAAAAACAGTGGGGAGAGTGAGTCTACAAACCCTGGGGCCATCCCTGACAATCTGGGCTGCTTTAGTCAAGTCACTTAACTTCTCTGGGCCTCAGTGTCCCCACATAGAAATGGTGTGAGGCCGGGTGCAGTGGTTCACACCTGTAATCCCAGCACGTTGGGAGGCTGAGGTGGGCAGATCACGAGGTCAGGAGTTCAAGACCAGCCTGACCAACAGGTGAAACCCCATCCCTACTAAAAATACAAAAAAATTAGCCAGGCATAGTGGCGCACACCTGTAATCTCAGCTACTCAGGAGGCTGAGGAAGGAAAATCGCTGGAACTCAGGAGGCTGAGGAAGGAAAATCGCTGGGACCCAGGAGGCAGAGGTTGCAGTGAGCCCAGATCGTTCCATTGCACTCCAGCTTGGGAGACAGAGCGAGACTCTGTCTCAAAAAAAAAGAAAAAGAAAATGGGTCCAAGAGCACCCAGCTTACCCATCAACCAAGAGCATATCCTAAGGATGTGAAGTGCTTATTACAGCCACAGCTTCAAAGCTAGCTGTAAACAAATTCCAGTTGCTACCATTTGACTCTAGAAAAGTCGACAAATGAAAGAGGGTGTTTGGGCCAAGCAAAACACCCGAGGCTCGTCCACTGCCCGGGCTGGGCCAGCTCAGAGCCTGCCCCCGCTCGCCTTCAGCCTTTCCTCTGCTTCTGTGACTCCTTTGTTTTCCTTCAGGAAACATGATTAGTCTCGTGGGTGACAGGAAAGGGAGGGAAATTGGCAGACCAAAAGCTGGTTGCTCTTTCATTGGCACCTTGGTCAAAGTTCATTTTGCAAAGCTCCCTCCAGGCTTCCCAGAACCACGGGAAAGGTGGGATTTTCCACATGTTGACAAACAGCAGAGCTCTGCCCACTGGGAGGGAGGTGGAGGAGAGGAAGCCTGTGAGCATGCAGGGATGAACTCAGTCCAGAAACAGGAAAGGTTCTCCCTGCAGAGGGTCCTGGACCAGCCGATGGGAAGATGGAGCTCTATGCAAGACCTGCCAGATTCCTCCTGAGCAAGAGTGGGTATCCATTTCTTGACCTCACAGATGAAGAGAAGAGCAGACTTCAGGAGCAGATTGACCTCCCCATACCAGCACTGTGGGGGTGGATCCCTCTCTCATCCCTGTGCCAATCTCAACTATGAATCACCATAAGCCACGGAGAAAGAAAACTCAGAGAGGACATCACCTCCGAGGCTGAAAGAGACCAGTGTGTACCAAATCTTCCAACATAAGGACCTCACTGGATCCATCTCAGTAACACTAGAGGGTGGCCCAGCGTGGCAGGGAGCAGGCAGGGCATGATGGATGACAGGCAGAGGAGGGAGAGAAAAGCAGGTGGACAGAAAAGCATGGAGTGAGCTACTGGTTGACCTGACATTACCAGACTTTTAACCACTTCCTGGTTAAGAGTTCCAAATCCTCCCACTGGGCATATGAAGAGACCGGGGCAGTACACCCAAACCCTGAAGTCAACAAGTAATAGAGGACATTGACCAGACACGAAGTCACCTTCAAGATAGAAAGATTTTCAGGAACAAAATGGAGACCTGGTAGAGCTTAGTTATTGGATATTAACTAAGGTAATGACTTATCTAGATAGGATAATGATATATCCACATAGGATAATGATGTACCTAAACCAAGAATGAATGAGAAGAGTATTTTACCAAAAAATAAGGTCTCTTGGCCCCGCGTGGTGGCTCACACTTGTAATCCCAGCACTTTCAGAGGCTGAGGTGGGTGGATCACAGGTCAGGAGTTGGGGACCAGCCTGACTGACATAGTGAAACCCTGCCTCTACTAAAAAATTAGCAGGGCGTGGTGCAGTGCACCTGTGGTCCCAGCCACTCAGGAAGCTGAAGCAGGAGAATCACTTGAACCCAGGAGGCAGATGTGGCAGAGAGCCGAGATCACGCCACTGCACTCCAGCCTGGGTGACAGAGCGAGACTGTGTCTCAAACAAACAAACAAAAATAAGGTCTCGTGAGGTTAACATGAGACAGTGACTCTGAAGTGCTCGTGCAATGCCTGGCGTGCCAAATACATGGGTGTTCAATAAATGGGAGTTTTTATCATTGTTAATAAGAACTGAATCACACCTCAAAAAAAGAATGAATTTAAAATGCTCAACCTCACCCATAAAGAAAAGCAAATTTAAGCAAAACCACTTGGTTGCCTCGGTTGCAGATGAACAAAGATCAAAGTATAATGGGATAACGAACCACGAGGAAATGGGCGTCTTCTTGCACCACTGGGAGAAACATTATATAAATTGCTACCTCTAGCTATCACACTATTAGACCAGGAAACATTGTGCTACTGGTACTCACTTCTGAGAGTGTATCCTACCCACAGCCACCTTACGTGAGTTTACTGAAAGATAGACCCAAAGGTTTCCGTAACAGTGTTATTCACAAAAATAATAAAGGATTGGGAGAAAGTCTCTGTCCAACAACAAGGAAATGATTTCTGACAACCCATTAATCTAAGGAAAAAACAAAATCACGTTTGCTTTTTTAAAAAAAAAAATATGTCTAGGTAAGACCTCACTTCTGCAAAACAATAATAATAAACAGCCAGGCATGGTGACACACACCTGTAGTTCCCAGCTACTCAGGAGGCTGAGGCGGGAGGATGGTCTGAGCCCAGGAGCTTGTGGCTTTAGCAAGCTATGACTGTACCACTGCACTCCAGTCTGGGCAACAGAGAGAGACCCTGTCTCTAAGTGGTAGTAATAATAGTAATAGTCTGGCATAGAGTTTTGTGCCAGACTGATAGGGAACTTCTCCAAGAGGTACTATGCAGTGAAAAAATCAAGTAAACTGAATACATTTTATCACATCACCCGACACATCTCTACCAGCCCTAAGAATCACCTGGTTTACTTTTTCATGGTCAATCTCTCTCCTGCCACAAAGTAAGGGCTGATGCCATCAGGATTATGTTTACTGCTGTATTCCCAGGATATTAAAGGTGCTCAAATATTTATGCCAAGGTCCAAATGCCCCATGGCAGAGATCATCTCTGAGGCTGGACTCGAATTTTCCCCTGGAATAGAGGATCCCGCAAGGAGGATTTTGTCATCATCAACCTCAGGACCCAACATGACATCTGCAGATCACACTGGACACGGTGAAGACCTTGCCCACCACAAGTCATGTTCCCACCCGCTTGGGAGGTTTAAAGAAAGAATGAAAATTGAACTCCAAAGTGATCAGAAGAAAACTGTGCATGACTCTTACCTGTTTCTTCTGGTTTGATCCACAGAATATATCTGCTTTCTCAGCCAACTGGAAAGAAATTTGAGACAAAAGGAAGAGAGAAAGAGAAAATCAGAAAATAGTGCAAGTCTAAGGGAGTCCTATGGGATGTGCACAAAAGAAACTGGAACAGAAAGGAGGGGTTTTCCAACTTTCTAACAAGGGCAGCCTGGGAAACAGTTTTCTCCTAGTAGTAGAAAGGTCCATCTAAGCCAAGATTTCAACTCCAAAAGGCCAAACTTCTTTACATTGACAGTTCTTTCTGATGACAGTCATTAACTCTGAAAAAAGCTGGAAAGAAAAACAGTGCCAAGTAGAGGACTTTGGTTTACTGGAAGGAAAATAACTCACACCCCAATGCCGATCCAGACTCCCATGACACTGAAGAAACAGTCTTGAGGTCTTCGTCAACCCACGAGGGAGTGATAGATAGAAAATTCCAGACCTTGTGTCTATCCTCTGATCAGTCCACTTAATCTCTCATTAAATCCTTTAAGAAGGAAGCCCTGTTTTCCCCCAACACATACCCCGGGAATATTTCTACCTCAAGCTCAATGCACCACTCACCCCAACAGGCCAACGCTAAAAACTAGCACAGGAAAACGTTCTTATTTGAAATACTGTAGAGCTCACATGGCTATTGGGCACCCATTACATACAAGTCACTCAATGAGTCTTAAAAAAGCAATGCCCCTTTATTTTTTTTCCTGTAGCCCATGTTGGCTAAAGGCAGCAGAATACAGGAATCAGTGACTATGGAAATAAAGGCAAACGCCAACTACCTCTCGATAATGGTGGGTGTGGACGCATTCATCGCTTCTTGGTGTAAGATTTTCAAGCCAGAGAGCCAGTTAACTGCATCCTCTTTAGAGTCAGCTGGAGTGGAGAAAGCAAACAGGAATGCTGTGTTAATTCCTGGGAAGACATCTGCTTAGAAATCCCGGCCCCATACAGATCACGAAGATGGGAGAAACCTATGCCAGTTTCCAGTTTTGCAGGGGCAAAGAAAGCATCCCCTTCACACCTTCATGGCTCTAGGACCTGCCTTTTGTCTGAGATGGAGCCACACATTCAGGATGAGCTTTGTGCCCCAGGGGTGACAAGTGGGTTATTCCTGTGCCAAATGGAATCAGCTAAGAACGGAGGGAGCGTTGGGAAATATTACTATCATATCATTAACATCATTTGAGCACTAACTATACATATGCTGGATATTGTTCTAAGTGGTTTTCCTATATTGATCCCACAAGGGAAGTACTACTATATTCCCATTTAACACATGGAGAAACCACTAAACCTAAGACAGGTTCAGGGATGAGTCCAAGGGCACATCGCTCCTAGCAGCCATCAGACACCGAGTGTTTGCATTCCTTCACAATTCATATGTGGAATCCCTAACCCCTGAGGTAGGGCCTTTTTGAGGTACTTAAGTTTAGATGAACTAATGAGGGTAGGGCCTCCAAGAAGGAATTAGTGCCCTTCTAGAGAAGAGAAAGAGAGATCAGAGCTTCCTCTCCGTCTAGCCCACACTGAGGAAAAGCCATGCGAGCACATAGCAAGAAGGCAGCTGTCTGCAAGTCAGGAAGGGAACCCTCACCAGAACTCAACCATGCAGCATCTTGATTTTGGACTTCCCTGCCCCAAGAACTGTGAGAAAATAAATGCATGTTGTTTAAAACCCTTCATCTACGCCATTTTGTTACAGGAGCAGAGCACACTGAAACACTGCAAGACACAGAATTTTAAACAAGAAGCCATTATCTTACCCTGGCAGCACATTGACTCCAGGAATGAAAAAGCTGAGGAATTCAAACCCAGGTTTCCAACTCCAGAGCAGAGTTTCTCAACCCCAACTGCTCAGGAGAATCGCTTGAGTGCTTTTCAAAACCCCAATACTTAGGTTCCTCCCTAAAGCAATTAAACCAGAAGACAGGGATGAGGGAGAAAACAGGTGGAAACATCCACGCAGTGCCAAAGTGTATCAGAGGGTGAGCTATCAGTTTCCCTTGCTGCTATAACAAATGACCACAAACTTAGTGGCTTAAATACAGGTTTATTTTCATACCGTTAGAGAGGCTAGAAGTCTAAAACAGACTGGTTGTGGGCAATCCTTCTGGACTCCTTCTGAAAGCTCTTGGAAAGAATCTATTTTCTTACCTTTCCCAGCTTCTGGAGGCTGCCTGCATTCCTTAGCTCATGGCCTCTCATCTTCTGACCTTTGCTTCCATCCTCACAGCTCCTTCTCTGAAGCGTACCTTCCCATGTCCCTTTTGTAAGAACCCTTGTGATTCCACTGCACACCCAGGTAGTCCAGGATATTTCCCATCTCAAGACCTTCAACTTAACCATACCCACAAAGTCTCCTTTTTCTTAGAGGTTAGTACATACACACGTTCCCAGAATTAGGACATGGACGTTGTGGGAGGGCAACATTCAGCTTCCCTTGGATGAGTACCTCTGGCTTAGGGATTTAGCTTTCTGTTTTATCAAGGAATGTTAGCTTTTAACCCTATTCTAATTAATAAGATGCAGGACCGGGGATAGTCCACACCACAACCCTAAGCAGCTGTCAGCATTGCCCTTGCTTCTAATCAAAATGGCATAGAGGGGCAAAGAATATAGCCTGCTAATACCCATGGTTGCTATTACCCCTGCTGATAAGCAGCATTGAGGAGTGGTTAAGAGCTTGGCATCTGGCAAAGGAAGATCCTAGCTCAAGTCCCACTGCACCACTTCAGGGCCGGGAGACATTCAGCACATTACTTCACCCTACTGTGTCTCATCTCGTCTGTAAAATGAAGCTAACCACACCAACACCTCATGGAACTATGAAACCTCTCCTCAGCACAAGATACTTTCTTAGTTTGTACACCCCCAGGCAGAGACTGTGCTCTCATGTTCTCACATAGATGAGGAGGAAGCGAATCTCCAAGGGCTAAGAGTTCATCTCAGAGCCAATAAGTGAGAAGAAGGCATGTGAATCAAAGTCTTGACCATCACTGTGCTGACCTTGAATATAGGGTTCCAGAAGAGGGACCCAGAGTAGGACATGTATCAGAATTTGCATCCTGGCCTCCAAGCCTCAGGCTCTTCTGGTCTCCTGACCAACTTAAGAAAGGTGGTCAGGGCTCAGCCTGACAGTGGGGCTACGGAGACAGAGGTGTGAAGCTTCACGGCCACGGACCATGTGCTCCTGCCTCATCTCTACCAAGCTCCCTCATATCATCAGTCAGACATTTGCTCCTCATTTCCCACATCCAATGTGCTTCTTCCCTCTTCTAAGCCCTGGTGCAGGCCACAGCCATTGCCTGGAGCGCCCTCCCTCTCTTTCCTCCAAACTCCTACTGAAGCCTCAAAACCCAGTGTACAAGTCACCTTCTCTGCCAAGCCTTCCCTGGAATTAAACATTCACAGCACACTGTATCCTGCTTGCACTAGGCCATCTCAGTGCATGGTACTTTCTGGTCCACACATCTGTCTCCCAAGTAGACTGAGAGCTTCTTTTTGCTTTTTGGTTGTTTTGTTGTTGTTTTTTGTTTTTTGTTTTTTGTTTTTTTTTTGAGACAGAGTTTTGCTCTTGTTGCCCAGGCTGCAGTGCAATGGCACAGTCTCGGTTCACCGCAACCTCCGCCTCCTGGGTTCAAGCGATTCTCCTACCTCAGCCTCCTGAGTAGCTGGGATTATAGGTGACCACCAACATGCCCAGCTAATTTTTGTATTTTTAGTAGAGACAGGGTTTCCCCATGTTGGCCAGGCTGGTCTCGAACTCCTGACCTCAGGTGATCTGCCCACCTCAGCCTCCCATAGTAATGGGATTACAGGCGTGCTCCACCGCGCCTGGCCTGAGAGCTTCTTGAAGGCAGCACCAGATCCCATTTATCTTCCTAACCCACTGATGTGTACACAACCTAACACCAAGTACAGGCTCAGAAGAGGTGTGGTAAAAGAATGAGCGAGAAATGAGTAAGTTATTTGTCCCTGAAGTAAACGTACCTACATTGCTCAACTTTCAGAGGTGCCTCCACTTTGGTCTATTCCAATCGTATTTATTTTCCCTCTCACTCATGAATGTATTTATACTTTTAAGTCAATAAATTCTAGGACTGAACTTGAAAGTAGCTATAAGCTTCTGCCCCTGCGTAAAGTGAGGAAAGTGCACGTGTCTGCAATACAAGATCTCAGGACAGTTCCTTCAGGTCAATCAGATTTGCTGAGCCACCTCTGCTGGAGGAAAGCAGGTTACATTTTACTTTTTCTTTTTCTTTGTTTTGTTTGAGATGGAGTCTCACTCTGTTCCCCAGGAAGGAGTGCAGTGGCATCATCTTGGCTCACTGCAACCTCCACCTCCTGGTCCTGGCAATTCTCATGCCTCAGCCTCCCAAATAGCTGGGGCTATAGGTGAGCACCATTGCACCCAGCTAGTTTTTAGAGTTTTAGTACAGATGGGGTTTCACCATGTTGGCCATGCTGGTCTCCAACTCCTGACTTCAAGTGATCCGCCTGCCTCAGCCTCCCAAAATGTTGGAATTACAGAGATGAGCCACCACACCCAGTCTACATTTTTCAGCCAACAGAGCCTGGCCTTTGGTGTTAAGAAATCAGCATTTCTTCAGCTCTCAGCAGGAGCCAGAGGGACACTTAACCTACTCCTCACAATCTCCCCATGAGATAGGCATTATTACTCTCCCCATTTCACAGCTGAGAAAACTGCAGGTCAGAGAGGTTAAGTCACTCACCTGAAGACACACAACTAGAAAGGGGCAGGACAGGGATTTGAAACCATGACCCCAAATGCACATCGATGAGCAGGCAGGGATCAGCTAGAGAACTTCTTCAGGAAGAGACTTGGCCACAGGGAGGGAGAAAAGCACAGACAGAAGCACACGCACCCACCTGCCAAGCTGAGTGTGCTGAGGACGAACTGGTTGCCATATAGGATGGTGAAGCAGCAGTCTTCTTTCTGGCGAACTGCTTTTGCACGCTCGAAATCTTTGGAGTTCTTCCCTGGGCGGATTTCTTTTATTTCCATGATATCCACTAAAATGAAATTAACATGAGCCAATCAGAAGCTGGAGTTCACTCCACCTGAGGATGCAGCCACATACCTACAGCCCAGAACTCACAAAGCTATCCCTCCATCTGGGCTCAGGGCCTGCTCATCTGGAAATGGACAGGGGGTCAAGAGCTTATCTGGGCATCTGCTGGAATAGGAGGAGTTTGGTGTTTTCGCTCACCCCATTTCTGAGACAGAAATGTGTTAAACTAGGACAGCTAATATTTATAACACAACTCAGATGTGAGGAACTAAGCCCAGACTATTCTACCAAAACAAACAACAGACCAAACTGATGCTCACTAGAAATCACTCCAGGCAGTCTAAAAGGTCCACCTGTCGTGTTAACCTTGACCTTGAAGATCTTTTCCCTTGAGTCCCAAAAGCTACAAGTGGTCTGTGGCTCAATCAAAGGGGAAAAAGAAAATGAAGGCACTGAATAACTGCTTCAAATTAAAAATAAGAATAAGAGACAAACCCCAGGGTTGGGATGGTCACAGGGGTTCTGGATATCACAGCGCCTGTGGGAAGAGAGTGGTAGACTATTACTCTGGTAACAGTCCAGAGTAATGGGCTGTTACTAATGGCCACAGTGTCTGGTATTTATGCCTCACAGAGCCAGCTGCCCTTGAATCCAGGTTGTCTCTGTGACCTGTTTTAACAAATGAAATGTAGCACAAATCAGGCGTGCCCAAACCCCAGGCCACAGAGCAATACCAGTCCGTGGCCTATTAGGAACGAGGGTGCGCAGCAGAAGCCAAGTGGCTGGCAAGGGAGCAGTACCACCTGAGCTCCACCTCCCATCAGATCAGCGGTGTCATTAGATTCTCATAGGAGCGCGAACCCTGTGGTGAACTGCATGTGCAAGGGATTCAGGTTGTGTGCTCCTTATTGGAATCTGATACCTGATGATCTGAAGTGGAACAGTTTCATCCTGAAGATGCACCCATTCCATGTGCAATCCACCCATCTGCAGAAAATGTATCTTCCACGAAACTGGTTATGGGTGCCAAAAAGGTTGGGAGCACTGGCATGCTGGCATAAATGATACTATGCCAGTTCAGGGCCTATTCTCTTTTGTTTTGTTTGAGGTGGGATCTTACTCTGTCACCCAGGCTGGACTGCACTGGCGCAATCTTGGCTCACTGCAACCTTCACCTCCCAGGTTCAAATCACTCTCCTGCCTCTGCCTCCCAAGTAGTTGGGATTGCAGGCATGTGCCACTATGCCCAGCTAATTTCTGTATTTTTAGTAGAGATGGGGTTTCATCATATTGGCCAGGCTGGTGTGGAACTCCTCACCTCAAGTGATCTGCCCGCCTCAGCCTCCCAAAGTGCTAGATTTACAGGCGTGAGGCAGCAGGCTCAGCCTGGGGCCTAATCCTTCAAGAAGGCCTGGTACCTTCCATTTTGTGCTCTGGGGGAGGCCAGCCTCTGTGTAAAAAGTCAAACTACCTGAGACCACTGTGCTGTGAGAAGCCCAAGATAGCCCTGTGGAGAGGCCATGGGAGAAGAATCAGTGCCCTCAGCCAACAGCCCAGCTGAGCCCCCAGCCAACAGTCACAGGGCACTGAGCCATCTTAGAAGTAGATCCGCTGGCCCCAGTGAGCTACCCCAGCTGACAGCACATGGAGCAGAGACAAGCTCTCTCAGTTCCCAACCATGCCCAGGTTGTAGAAATATGTACAATAAATAAAAGGTTTGTTGTCTTAAGCCACTAAATATCGGGACAGTTTGTTGTATAGCAGATGACAGAAACAAATAAAACATCCTTCCTCTCTACAGCTCCTGCTGCCATGTGACTCCAACCACTCCTGGTCAAAACCTACTGGGCCAGGATGGCCCCCTGACTCAAAGGTGAGTCCCTTCCCCACACAAGATGACCACTGAACTCTAGACTAGCACAGAGAGACAAGTTCAACAAGCTCAACCAGTCTCTTTTTTCCCTTTCTTTAAAAAAAAAAAAAAAAAAAAAAAAAAAAAAAAGCCTTTTCATAGGATGCACTTATTCCATGCACTTTAGATAGAGGTGATGATTCACCCCTCACCACCTTCAACCATGAGCTGAAGGAGACAGCAGGAGCCTGGGAATGACCCAAGTGCTCTGGCCCAGTGACTGGTTCAGGAACAGACACATGGCCCAAGCTGCCCCATCAGCATGCTCCAGGGACTTATTTGGCCAGGACTACTGGTAAAACCTCCCCTCCACTGCTGCTCCCAGGCTGGTAAAACAGGAGCCTGGGAGCAGCAGGGAGCAGCTTGTCTACCACGGTAGAAAGGGATATCAGACCCTGGTATGCCTTTGAACTCCAGCCCTCCTGGAGATCAGAGTGAGAAACGAGATCTCAGCTTTGCAGCAAGAAGAGGTGGCTCTGGCCTGGAATTAAGGAAGAGAACAGTCTGTGTCTTTGGATTGGGGGATTTAGTCGATTTAAATTTAAAATTAATAACAATATATGTGTGTTTGATACTGTCATTTAATGTTAGCTGGCTGTTTTGCCCGTTAGTTGATGCAATTTCTTAAATATGTTGATGTTCTTTATTTTTTGGTATTTTTTAGAAAGGCTGATACTAGTTGTTCCTTTCTATTTGTAGTGGTTCTTTCAAAAGCTCTTGTAAAGCAGGCCTGGTGGTGATGAAATCTCTGAGTGCTTGCTTGTTCACAAAAGATTTTATTTTTCCTTCGCTTATGAAGCTTAGTTTGGCTGGATGTAAAATTCTGGGTTGAAAGTTTTTTTCTTTAAGGATGTTGAATATTGGCCCCCACTCTCTTCTGGCTTGCAGGGTTTCTACTGAGAGATCTGCTGTGAGTCTGATGGGCTTCCCTTTATGGGTAACCTGTCCTTTCTCTCTGGCTGCCCTCAGTATTTTCTCTTTCATTTCAACCCTGGTGAATCTGGCAATTATGTGCCTTGAGGTTGGCCTTCTTGAGGAATATTTTTGTGGTGTTCTCTGTAAATCCCCCAATCCAAAGACACAGACAGGCAAAAAAAGCCAAGACCCATTGGTATGCTACATCTAGATCCATCTCACATGCAAGGATACATAAAGACTCAAAACAAAGGGATGGTGAAAAATTTACCAACCAAATGGAGAGCTAAAATAAATAAATAGAAAGCAGGAGTTGCAATTTTTGCTGATAAAATAGATTTCAAACCAATAAAGATCAAAAGAAGCAAAGAAGGATATTACATAAAGATAAAAGGATCAATGTAACAAGAAGAGCTAAAGATCCTAAACATATATGCACCCAATACAGAAATACCCAGATATATAAGACTTACAAAGAGACTTGGACCCCCACACAATAATAGCGGGAGACTTCAACATCAATATTAGATAGATCAATGAGACAGAATGTTAACATCGATATCCAGGACTTGAACTCAGATCTGGAACAAGTAGACTTAATTAACATTCATAGAACTCTCCACTTTAAATACACAAAATATACACTCTTATCAGTACTACATCACACGTATTTACAGGTTTAAATGAAATATTGGTTGGCTGCTTGTTAATTATTTTATTCCCTCATTT